GCCTATGAACGTGTCTAAGGCAAAATGAAGTGTCCTTTCTGTTTCTTTCGCCCGTTGTACTCTGCAGATACTCGGTAAAGCAGCAGAACATGTAGGGAGTTCTCGCACCTTTCTGTGGTGTCTACTAGTGATGGATTACGCATGGAATTGAGTTACCCGTAAAATCAAAATGACTGCCGATGTTTTCGATGAACCTGAAACGTAACGCAACAGCAGAGCTCATTCTGAAGACTAAGTTCTCTTCGTTCAAGTTTACATATCTATGCTTTTCCAAGTCGAAAGTCTTGCGCCATGACTTGAAAGCTCTGATGTCTGGTACGAGCAGCTGAAGCGCTCTTTCTAAAACGTCATTTGGCTCAAGTTTCTTGATATTATCAGGAGTACAGATATTCAAAAGAATTGTTTCGACATGTTTCGTGAATGCTTTCAGAAGAATCAGCGAAACAGCTGCCACCTACCCAGTCAACGAGCGTAGGATCTCTTGAAAACCAGAAATAATTTTACAGAATGACTGTTACAAACTTTGCTTCGCTTCTATCGAAGCACAAGTCTGGCGCAAGATTGGAGGCGAACTAATTATCCACCGACGTATCTTCATTCGCAGTCCGAAAGGAAAGCGGTCATTCCAACTGCCACTTCAATGAAAGAAGCGGAGATGCTACACAAAATGAACTGTTCATACTGAGAAAATTGGATTGGAAAGCTCAAAATCAACGTATGAAAAATTTCTAGTCTCAGAACACAGCAAATGAAAATGATTCTGCTGTAAATTAACGCAGAACATTAAGTGCATCGAAGAGTTGAGTGTTAGAAGCATCGTCTGCACGAAAGCTGACTGGCTTTCAAATCAAAATTTGGCAATGTTGGAGCGGACAAAAAGAAAATCATCAGGGTCGAAAAAATTTGCATCATTTCTGAAGCATAGCTTCCTGTGTTGCGTAATCAAATTATAAATAAATATGTTATATTTCAGCTCGTGTCTCCCGCTACAGACTTACGCAGATCTTTCATATAAGCATCAAGAAAAAGTCATAGTCCAGTATCCATTTTAACTATTCATTCAAAATATAGGAAGGACCATGAACAACTACCCCAGTTTTAACTCTTCCCAGAGTTGACCGGCGATCTGGAGATAAAATGTCGCCACACGTAGTCGCGGCGTACTTGTTAAATCCGAACGTTAAATAATTAAATGAAAGGAAACATTTAAAATAGTCAATATTTATGTACTTTGTCATAAAATAGACAGAACCTAGTTCCCACCGTAAATTATTTTAAAGAGCACCTTCTACTTCTAGTAGTTTCTTCTTTTAACGAAAAAGTAGTTTGATTTTAATACCATTATAACTATGAATGTGGTACATTCACGTGAACAGGATCGTGTTGGCTGCATAATACATGTATGATGGGACAGCTTCTCGATTATATTGAACAAGCAAAAATTTCTTACTATTGGAACGGAAATATTTTCATCAATTCATATCCCGATGCAAATCATTTTATTTTTTACTGTTGAAAGCCTTCAGCTGTTTTGATATGCCGTTCAATATGTTTAGGCTGGCTGTAGTGAATTTCGTTATTATGATTTGCACAATACAGTGCATCGTGCATTTCTTCATATGTATCATTCCATGACACCGCAAATATAAACGATTTGCAGGTACAGTTTAAACGTATGACAAGAAACAGTATGTCCTTACCCGGTAATTGCGCTATTCATCGATTTGTTTTGTATTTATGTTGTGTCGTTTTGTTATCAAAACAGGTTTGAAGGCGCTAAATGCATGTTTTGTGAGCATAGACGTTTTGAGAGTTTGTTTTTAGCCTTTTCGAACTTAGATTTTCTCGAAAGTATGAGTAGCGTTGATGCTTATGGGCCCGCCTCTCAGTCGTTGACGTTTTTGGATCCTGAAGAAAGCACCGACCTGATCGCCGGCGCCACGCAGGACTCGGAGTTTGATTTTGGCGATTTTACGGTGCCTTCTCAAACGCAAGGTAGTCAACTTGAAACTCAGTCGCATTCACAGGTAGGCGAAGGGTTGATATTCGTCGTCCTTCAGCGTTTTACATGCTGCTTTACCTCGATAGACTCTTGCAAACGGCAGCGACCATGACATAGACTTCCTCGGTAAGAACACCTCTGAGCTGACATTCCAGGATGAGGATAACGACGACGACGAAGCAGAGTTCTACAAGAAAGACCTGCCGGAACATGCTTGCCGTTATTGCGGCATTCACGATCCGGCCGCCGTTGTCCACTGCAATCAGTGCAAAAAATGGTTCTGCAATGGACGCGGCAACACCTGCGGGAGGTGAGTTCCTCTTTCTTACGATTGCTTCACTTTTCGCCACGTACTGCACCGTTTTCCTACGTTTGTAGTCACATCGTCAATCACATGGTCAGGGCAAAACACAAAGAGGTCACATTGCACAAGGATGGACCCCTCGGCGAAACCCTGCTCGAGTGCTACAACTGCGGCTGTCGGAACGTATTCCTGATCGGCTTCATTTCGGCCAAGGCTGATTCGGTTGTCGTCTTACTTTGCCGCCAACCTTGTGCTTCTCAAAGCAGCTTAAAAGATATGAATTGGTAGGTGCTTAAATAGTTGTACGATTGTTTGATATTTTAC